AAATAAAAATCAATAATCTTTATTCATATCAAATCGTCAAAGGGATTTACTTATTAAGCAACTTAATTATTTAGATTATTCGAAAATCCAGTGCCTTAATTATAATTTTATTAAATAAAGGGTTATTATTATTACTAATTTTAATGTAAAATATATTATTATTATTATATTTATTATTATTATTATTATTATTATTATTATTATTATTATTACTATTACTATTATTATTAATATTATTGATATTAATAATTCTATTATTATCCTTAATTTTATTAAAACTAATTATAGTTTTCTTATTAATATATCTAATATTGTTATTAATTTTAATTTTATTACCTATTATTAAATATAAATATTTTTTTATTTTATTTTTTACATTTAATATGCTTAATTTTTATTTTAACTATTTGTCATTCCTTAATTATTTTATCCCTCATAATTATTTGCTATACCTTAATTATTTGACATCCCCCTTTTTTAATTTTAAATATATATATAATTACTTTAATTATAATTTATTTACATCTAATAATTGTTCTGATTTCCAATATTATTATCCCTATATTTAAAAGTTTAAATATCTTAATTACATATTTAATATTTTTTATTTACTTTTAATATAAAGCATTATAATTTTACATTTGCTATTAGTTTTATTCTTTATTATTATTTTAATAATAGTTTTAATCAGAATATATATCATTGATACTTTATGATTATTATCTTTATTATTATTGTCCCCATTATTACTATTAAATCTATTAAGGATTTTACTATTATTAGTATTATTATTATTATTAAGTATTATTTGTCTATTGAGGTTGATCAATATCATCTAATAAATCAAACAAATCGTCCTAGCAATTTTAAACAGGAGGATGTTGTGGTGGAGTTTACTATTATTACTAATTCACTGGCTATTGAGGTGATTAAAAAAATTATTATTATTATTTTTATTATTGTTAAAATTATTGTTATTGTTATTATTTTGGATTTATACTATTGTTATTATTAAAAAAATCATTAAAATTATTTACAAAATTAGTATTAGAAGGTTGTCTATTTTCATTTTTTTAATTACTATTACTAAAATTAAACTAAGAGAAATCATTAAATTAATTATCAGTTTTTTTTTATGGTTTATTTTATTAAATTTGAGGTTCTTTTATTTATTCTGCAGTGATTTTTTATGTATTATTATTATTTCCTGACCAATCAAATTAATCAAAACCATGATCAAAACCTTTATCATAAATATCTACTGTTCTCCCTGGTTAAGGCACTTTATTACTTTAAGCGGTTTTATGGACCATTTAAACTGTTAGTTTATTAGCAGTATCATCTTAATCAACACTATCACAATCATCAAATTAAAATTCTTGCCTTGTTTTTGCTTATGTATATAATTCAGAAAATGTTTGTGTGGAATTGAATATTAATTCAAATGAATCTGCTTTTGCTTGAACTGTTATTAAGTTTTTTTATAATTCAAATTTATGATAAAATTCATGATTCATTCTTGTTTTTTTTTTAATAAACAAATTGATTTTGTTATTTTATTTTTTACTTTTGGATTTCTTTTAATACTTTACCATCACATGTTAATTTCTTTTTACCTGAAATTTTAGAATCGTATAAATCTACTGTAAACCTTTTACCATCTATAGAAAAAACCCATGTATATCTTATTTTAGAACTTAAATTTTTATTTTTATAATGAATTTTTAAAAAGGTTTATATTTTTTTGTTTTAATAAAAAAAATTTACGATTTTATTTTTTTTCCTACTTCTAATATTTATACACTAACTGCTAAAATTTTACCCATTTTTCTTGTTATTTAATTATTTTATTTATTATTTTCCTTTTTTTTATTTTTATTTATTTATTGGTTCTTTATTTTTTAATTTTATATAATATAGATAAATTTTATTTAATACATAAAAAATTTATATTTTTTATTATTATATAACATATATGTTTGCTTTTTTTATTTTTCATAAATTAAAAAAATAGATAAAAAAACTTATAAATTAATATATATTATATAATCATAACTTCCCAAAATTATTATAAATTTATTTAATATTTTCCTTTTATTATACTACAAAAACATTTTTTTTACTATCATACACTGTAACTCCTAAAAGATTATCAGCAAAACTAGTAAAAATAGCATTATAGGATTTATTAAATTTTGCTAAATTTATTAATTAGGTAAATAATAGATGTTAATCTTCCATAAGGAATGAACTGGATAATAAAATTATCTATATAATATCCATCATTATTAATGTCATTAAAATAATCCTTTTTTTTAGGTAACAGTTACTCCTTTTCAAGGAATCCTATAATAAGTATTCTTCTTCGTATTTCAAAATTTTTAATAGCTACTATAAAAGCTATTTAATAATCATTTATCATATTTAATTTCTATATTTATGACTATTAGTGATTGTTGAAATGTAACTCTAAAAAGTATTTTGAAATATTATTTATAAATTACTAAACAATTATTATTAGAGTTCCAGTTTAAATATTATAAATTTAAATTTATAATCATATTGTATTTACACCTCCGTCATTATTTATTGTATTATATAATAATACTTTTTACTTTTATTAATAATATATGAATGAATTAAAGAGAAATAATTTTCATATGATTCATTTTTAGATGGATATATATGAATAAACTATTTTATATCACTATTAATTTTACATAAATAGAGCCTGTATGTAGTTTTATAAATATATTATAATAAATCTAAAATTAAATATTTTGTATTTAAAAGAAAAAATCCAATTCATAAAATTAAATATAATTATTAAATAATAAATTGCAATAAATTATAAGTTTAGATAAATATTCCTTTTTCGAAAAATGCTTTTATTTTTGTATTATACTTTATATTCTAATAAAATATGATTATTATGTTGAAAAATTTAATATTATATAATATTTAGCTTTTATTCATTTAATATTAATACTTTTGTTTTTTCAAAGGGTATATTTTCATGAAATAAGCAGTCATTATTTTACTCTAATTGAGCTTTCCATAATTCAGATTTTTTAATAGAAATAATGTCGTTTAATTTATAATATGAATATTAATTATATTAATCTAGCATTAAAACAATAGTTGTTAAAACAATATAAATCTTAGTTTTTTATCCAATATATGCGTTCGAAATATTCTTAATTTTTAATTAAATATTAGTTAATATTCTTTTATCAATATTTATTTTATATTAGAGTTTAAAGGAGCATTTTAAAATCTTAAATCTTAAAAATTGATAGAATTGACTGAAAGTACTTTTACGGTTTGATCCTAATCTTTAAATTAAATACAAATTCAAAATAATATCAGTTATCAGGAACTAGGAGGCCTTAACAAGCAATTTTAAAAAAAATTATGAAGTTAAAAATACACTCTTTTAAATAAATATTTGTAAAAAAGTAAATTAATTTTATTTTTGAAAATCTGAATCTCTATTAAAATATCTTTTTATTTTTTAAAAAATATTACATTAAATTTCTAATTCATCTTCTTTTTTTATTTGTAAGCAAAAAGCCTTAATATAAGGAAAATTTTCCTTCTTTATTTAACCTATAGTGTCTCCTTATATATTAGATTAAGGGAAGAAGTTTCCTTTTCAAAAAAAAGTTAGAAAACTAAAATTTTTATTCGGGAGGATTTAAATAAAGGCTAATTTTTAATTTTATCTAAATTTTAAAATAATATTTGACTCAATCAAGCATATTTAAATTAATTATAAAGTTAATAATTAGCCGATTATATATATGTTTTTTTTTTTGATATCTGGCAGTAAGATTAGAATATAATATAATATAGAAAATAAGGTTTTGTGATGCGAAAAAAATTCCCGTATTCGATTTTATCTAATGTTCTAAAGAAATGTATGTTTCAGTGAAATTTATGTTGCATTTTATTTCTGTATGATTTCTAATTAAATAAAAAAAGCTATAAAATTAGAAACAACTTTTTAAATAAAACCTTATAATGCTCCATTAAAAATATTTGGTCAAAATCTCAAGTTCTTTTTTTTTTAACAAAAATAAAAACCTTGTTAAATAATAATTTTTTTTTCTTAATCTAAATTTTGGTCATTTTAAAATTTCTTTAATACTTATTTTTTTACTAATTTTACCATATTTTTGTAGCTTTTAATTCCTTGTTTTATTAAAAAGGCTCTTTGATATAAAAAAAAGACTTTATATAATTTAACAATATATTATTGATAGTTAATATATATGTATTTCTAAACCATATAAGTTTAAATTTGCTTGTATTAATGTGATCCTATATAGATAGTTATCGGTTTATATTTAAGTTATTTAATATGTTTCTTCGTTTGGGATTTATAATAAATTGTCTTTCTAAGAATCTTAGTCTTGAAATATTATTTTTAAATTTGAATTGGAAACAGAAATACTATTTGAATATAATTATTGTCTTCCGTTTATTAATATAATAGAAAGTTCAATGAATGTTATTTACTTTTTAATATATATCTTATATTATTTTTAACTTTTAGACATATATTTAATTGTTTATTTGGAAAGTTATGATTATGATGTATTAAAAATCACAATAATATAAATAATCATATTTTTTTTTTAAATTTAAACATATCTTTAAATTTTCTCTTTTTTATTTAAAAAAAAAATTAAATATAGATTTATTATATTGTTTTAAATATTTTTTTTAAAAAATAAAAAAAATAAAAGATGTATTATATTTGAATATAAAAACGAATTTAAGAATTTATAGTTTAATACTTTTTTTCTCAAAAAACCAAAAATAATCCAAAAAGCTATACCAATAAGAACTATAAGGCAAAAGAAAAATTTTACTAATCTGAATTGCCTTATAGTGTTTTAAGATTTTACTTTTACAAAACAACTAAAAAGAAATTCTACTTAGAATTTTACAGATCATCAGCTAGATTTCTTAATCTATTATTATCAGCATCAATTTTTAAATTGACTTAAATAACAGCATCTTAAGCACTTTGAATAAGTGGAATACTAAGAACAATTACTCCTGGTGTAGAACTAAGAACACTAGTAATAGTAGTACAATCAAGTACAACAATATTTCCTTAAAATAAAACAGTTTCAAGTTTCAAGAATTTCTTATAGGAATTATCAATAAATTTAATTTAAACAAACATATTATCTCCGACAGTATAAACAGGTTTTACATTTTCCAAGAATTCGAGACAATTTTAATCTTTGCAGATTTTTCCTTATGTATCTAAATCAGCAATAATTACACAATCATAATCAGGATTACAATTGTTGGTTATTTAATTAGTAGTATCAATTTGGAAGATTTAAACAACATCTCTTCTTGTATAAACAGTAACCGTAAATTTATGTTATCTTATGATATTATCTTGGTTTTTAAAATTAACTGCAAAGCTCATTTTTTGATAAATAACACCCTAAACAATACTATTAATATATGCCAATTGGTAAATATCAATAAGCGAAATTTAGATATTAGACTATTATTAATTTTAATTGTCTTTTATATATTCAGAATTTAATAAAGTAAAATTCTAATCGTTTTTAAGGTCTATAAGAATTTCGGTTTTAAGCAAATTTTGACATTCTGTGCTTACTTTTGTTCTTGAAAAATTGTAAACTATTTAATTCTAAAATAAATTTCCTATTATTGAACAGTTTGATATTACGTAGACATCTTTTATTTATAAAGATATTTCTTTTTCACATAATGATACTTATTAAGGAATTCCATTTATTGCTGATGAGCATTAAAAGGGATTATCTGATTTAAGGTAATAGTTTGTATTACATGAACAATATTTATTAGCTACCATTGTAGAATTAGGATCACTACAGGTTTAACAAATTCCAGAGTTTGGGCTACAGATACAACTTGGGTGACATTATTTAGCAAAAATTACATATACTTATAAATTTTTTATACCATATATTCCATTTTTAACACCAATTTATAATGAAAATTAAGTATTAGTTGATTAAATGGTAGCATCTACTTTTATCAAATTATATTGTTATGAATTACAGTTTATTAAATTTTCAGTTGATTAGCTTCCTTAATATGTATACATTTCATTTTAGTCTATTTTTATAGAAAAATTGTTTTATTAAAGGCCTATAGGTACATATAAATCTAGTTTTACTTATATTTATATTTAAGGTATTGGTGATAAATATTAGTTTTACATTTCTCCATTTATTAATAAAAATTAGTCTAATTCACATTCTTAGATTGTTATGGGATTTTATAAAGCTTACCATTTTTATATTTATTCTGTAATTATTGGATTATCTTAAAATTCTTAAGATATTAATTTTTATGAATAAATTAATGAAAATAATGTCAATATAAATAACGTTTAAATTTTGTTTTATTTCATATTTTTTATGTAAAACAAATTATATTATTTTTTAGTGTTTTATATATATTTTTTTTACTTTTCTTTTTATTTTTTGATTTTATGTATATTTTTTATGCAGTTTTTTTAGGTTTTATCAATTATAATTTTTTTTTTTTTAGCCTTTTGTTTTTGCTTTTTGTTTTTTCTATTATAAAGAATAATTTATAAAATATATTTAATAAATGCAGTTATTTCAGGATTTTAAAATAAAATTAAATATATTTTGAAAAATACGTTATTTTATGATGAATCAATTTATTATTTTATGATGAAACAAATTATTATTTTTTTAAGTATGAAAAATATTTATTTTTTACATAAATTATTAATAATTAAAGTATATATATATTATTGATTTAATATTTTTTTCTGAAAAATTTTAAACGTTTTTTATATTATATTTAACTATGTATATTATTAATATTATATTTTTTATTAAGGTTTTTAAATATATAATAAATATTCTTTGTTAACGTGAATTTAATAATAAGTTAAAATTCACAAATGATAAATATTTTTTGAAATATATTATTTTAAAAAAAAAAAAATTATATATTTACTTATTTAAAAATAATAAAAAAAACTGATTTTAAAATATGTATTTATAAAAAATTTATAATTTAAATCTATTTTTATAAAAATTTACTTATAAAATACCTAATATTTTTTTGTATTTCTTAAAATAAATAAAATAAAAAATAATAAAAATACATTTTTAATATATATTTATATAAAAAAAAAATTAATATGGCAGATTAAAATATTTAAAATAAAAAAAGAATAAACAATAATATCAAATCAAAAATATATAAAACTTAAATGTAAAATTATGAAAAAAAAAAAATATATATATATTATATAATAATATTTATATTAAATAAACTAAATGATTAACAAATAAATAAATTAAACCATTTTTGAAAAAAAAAAAAAAAAAAAAAAAATTGAAAGCCTATCTCATTTCCTTATAAAACTAAATAATCTAACTCTATTAACCAATTTATTATGATCTTCATAATCACTATCTTTAAAAAGTTTCTAAAGTAAAAAAAAAAAAAATTAATAATAAAAATATTATAATTAATTTTAATAATAAAAACCTTATCCTATATTTCCTCCAATTCATCTTCATTATCACTATTTTCGAACTCCGTTATTGGCGGTTTGTATTATTTATTGAGTAGCTTATCCCAATCAATTCCTTCAAAAAAGGGATCTTTTCTTATTTAATCTTTATTTTGGGCTCCAAGTCTAGTTTTAGGATTTCTATCAAGCAATCCATTTACAAAATTTCTTGCAGCCTAGCTTACAAAAGATGGGTAATGGAGATTACCTTCTTTTATTTTTTTATACATGGTAGGAATATCATCATCATAATAAGGGGGATCACCCGTAAGCATTTCATATAAAACTGCTCCTATACCATATAAATCACTTGCTTTAGTAGCTCCTTTATTATTAAGCATTTCAGGAGATAAATAAGCAGGTGTACCACAAAAAGACTTTGTTTTTTGATTGTCTTATACATTATCTTTTGACAAACCAAAATCAGCTAATTTTATATGGCCATCATTTCCAATAAGTATATTTTCAGGTTTCAAATCTCTATACACAACATTTTAATCATGAATATATTATATTGCCAAAACTAATTCTCCTATGTAAAAAACACATTCTTCTTCTGTAAAACGGCGTCTATATGCCAAATGAGATGAAATATCTCCTCCTTTACAATAATCTAAAACTAAATAAAGATAGTTAGGAGTCTTTTTTAATTAAAAAAATAAATATATATATACATATAATAATATATATATTTTTACTTAAAAAGCATAATGTAGTCCTAAAACAAATGGATTATTACACATTTTTAAAACATTGGCTTCAGTAACTGCATATCTTAATTATTTTTTTATTATTAATGGTTTTTTTTTTAGGGCTTTTATAGCATATATTTGACCGGTATCTTTTTTTTTTGCTAATAAGACTTTACCAAAAGAACCTGCTCCTAATAATTTTAAGATTTTAAAAGATTCAAATTTAACAGATTCATCTGATAAATTTCCCAAATTTACATTTTCTTCTTCTTATTACGAAATAGTTGTTGATGTTGAATTATTTTTTACCTTTATTGAATCAACTGTTGATTTATTTTCATTTATCGTTTTATCGTTTGACTAGTTACTACTTTCATAACTTAAATTTATAGTTTCAGTAATATTACGTTCTTATGGAGGTTCTTGTGGAGGAACAGGAGGCTAGACTTATAAAAAAGAAGTTTTTTTAAATTTTAACATTTATTAAGGCTATTAATTTGATTGTTTTTCAAAACTTTACACTCCTTCTTGTATATTTCCACCAACTTTTCCTTTTATAGGCTCTTATTCGGCTTGATCTTTTAATTCAATTGTTTCATTTTGTTATATTTAGGATGCATCAAAAGAATTTCTGTATTTTTTAATTTAATTTTTTTTATTATTATTATTTTTACTTGCTTTCAACATAATACGAATATACACTTGCTAAATATAAATATTCAGCCCATTTTTTAGCCGCTTATTAGAATTTGCAACCATATACTTGTCTATTAGGATAATTGAATTCAAAATAACTAAAATTATTTGGCATAAACCATGATTTGGTAATCATTTATATGTGGACAATATCTTTTAAAGGAATAACTTCAATAGGTTTTAAAGGATAGTTTTATTATGATTTATATCTGATTAGTGTGCCTTCATCAGGATTAATAACAAGATATCTTTTTTTTATATTAACTAGAAAAGTTCCAATTTTATGAATATTTCCTTTTACAATTGGAGGTTTAGGAGGGGAAAACTAATCTAATTATATATGTGGAAACGCCATATTATTTTATTATTATAATTATTATTAGTCATATTATTTACTATAGTTTTTGAGAATCTGCTTACATTCTTCATTATTACAGGATTCAAAGCAAGTTTTATTTTCAGCATTTTTAATTGTTATGTCAGGTTTTTTTTCCAAAAGTAATTGTAAGCATTATGTTCTGCCAAATTAGCAAGCAATATGTAAAGTAGTACCTTACTAAGTTACATAATTAAGATCTAAATCTTTTGAATCAAGTAATATTTTTAAAACTATTTTTTTTTTTAAAGAAAAATATTAATTATAGACAAATATATATTTTTTACTATTTATGTTATTTCTATGGACTGCAAATTAAAGACTAGTCCAGCCTTAATTATTAGGAATATTAGGACTTGCTCCTCTATCTATTAGCTCTTTTACAATTTTAATATGTTAATAAGAGACTGCATAATGTAAAGGATTCCAACCTTGTCTTCCTAATTGGTTAATGTATTAACTTTTTGATTTTTATATTTCATCTTTTTATTATTATGATAATTTCGATGGAACTGCTTCTAAAATCTTAATTACTTCTTCGATTTTTCCATTTATCGTTTCCATAATTAATGAATGTAAAAAATTATCGAGTATTTTTCTTATGTCATATTGTCTTTATTGACCTTCTTCATCACTACTACTCATACTTGAAGATTAACTATATTATTTTAATTTAGAATTTTATTCGGAATCAATGTTTTCCTTTTATTTTACTAATGCATCTTTATTATTTCTTTCAAAAGAACCACATTTTTCATCTTCATTGTCTTCACCGTTATCACCTCCTTCTTTTATTACGCTTAATTCGGCTTTTCTTTAATCTTTTACTAAACCTAATTTTCCCAAATATTTTGCGCTTTATTGCATTGATTATTTTTTTTATTTTTCTACGTCTAAATCTCTTATCTCGACATTAATTTATGTCTTCTCTTTTATTTCGTAAAATGATAATGGCCATCCTTATATTATTTTTACCTATAATAAAATATATATTTTTAAATTTTAATTTATTTTTTTAATTTTTAATTTTTCTTTTTTACATTTATATTATCTTTTTTTACTGTGGCTACAATTTAATGGACTTTGTAACCTATTTTGTTAGAAATTAATTTTAAAAGATAAGAACAATCTTCATTTTCACCTTCTATTTCTATTGCAATTGTTTTCTTTTATAAAAATTCATAATAAAATTGTATAATAATTCTCATTCTATTTTTCAAATTATTTAAGCTTATAATAATGATATTTCTATTATATATTTTATTTATTTAATTAATTTCTGCTTTGAATTTTTTTTCTTTAATTTTATTTTAATAAACAATATTAGAAATATAAACCTTATTTTATGAAATTATTTGTAAAATATTTTTTTAATAAAAGAATTATTTTTTTATTTGAAAAAAACAAATTCAAAATATAAAATATAATATATTAATGAATATTATGTAAAAAATAAAAATGAAAAAACAATAAAAAAAAATTAATACAAATAAATAAATATATAAATATATAAATATATAAATATATAATATATATAAATATATATAATTTTATATATATATTAATATATTTTTATTAATATATTTTCAAAATATACTTTCACTTAATATATTTTTTTTTATAAAATTTCATATATTATTTTGTTAATATATATTATTTTTATAATTTATATAATAAATTTTATAATTGTTTATGTTTTTATATTCAATATAAGTTTTATTTTTTTAATATTTTTTTTAATAATTTTTATTCAATATTGAAAATATTTATATGTTTTTTTTTTTTTAAAGATATATATTTTATTTCCACTTTTGAACATATAAATTCTTTTTTTTTTAAATATATTTATTTATTTTCATAATGATATATATAAAGATTTGTCTTCATAAATTGTTACCTTAACCTTAATTGATATTTTATTTTTATTCTTATTATTATTTTCTTATTTTTTAGAATTATCTCTTTTTCTTTTGCAAACATAATTTAACTTCTACTCTTAAATCAATACTTTCGCTTAATTTTTTTACATAAATTAATTATAATATATATGATAAAGATAATATTAAATCCTTTAAAATTTTATAAAAATTGAATGCTATAGTGATCAAAAAGTACAAGGAGTTAAGAAAAAATATAAATTTAAAAAAAAAGTAGTATTTTTAAGAAGTGAGAAATTTTATACATTAGAAATATATATATATTTTTAAAATATACTTCTATATTTAAACTGTTTACTTTTATTTTAAAAAATATTGATATTGTATATTAATGTTATGTTTAAACAATACTTTTAATTTTATTCAAATAATTAAGTTTTATATATTTAGAATAAGAATAAAAATATTTTTTTAGTTTAATTTAATTATCACTCAAGTTCAATTTTTTTTACTTTAAATTTCAATCTATTAGAATTATATTAATTAAATATATTTATTTCTAATTTCCGAAAAAATGTTTTTATAATAAATAAAAAATATTAATTCTTCAAAATTATGATAATTCCATTTTTTTTTAAAAAAAAAAAGTGAAAGTTAAAATACAAAATATATATATTTTAGCTAATTTATTTTTGGGCGGAAAAAGTTAAATATAATAATTAAAAACTATATTTTTATATATTTAAGTAAAATTTATACACTATATACTTACTTTAACATATAAATAGTATTTTAAAAGCAAAGGGTTAAATATTTAAATATAGAATAATAATATGTAAACTTTAAAATAATTAGTTTTAATATAGGCAACATTATTTATAAAATTTGTGATTAACTAGATTAAAAAAATTAACAAATGATATAATATTTCAATACTAATATTATACTCTAGAATATAATTCACATTTTGCCTGTCTAAATAAAAATTCAATATTAAGATATTATATTCTCCTTTACTGCTTAATAAAAAATGACTAAGATAAAAAATTTTAATAGCTTTTTTTTTTAATTTAAATACCAAATTAAAAAAAACATAAATAAAATTCTAAAAATTAAAAATAATCATAATACTAAAATATAATTTTACATATAATGATTATTATAAATATATTAATTAACTAACAGAGATTATAAATACTATTGATGTATTTTAAATATGAAGTTTGAGTATGGGTTTTGGCTGGAGCTGTGAGAGATTGGTATTAAGGTCGATAGATTATTTTCTATTTTTCTATTTAAAATAATATTAAAAAAAAAATCAATAAAACTCTTTAGAATATAAACAATATAAGGTATAGGAATGTCACTTATAATTATTTTATTATTAAAATATTTAAAGTAATTTTTTTCAAATTAATTACCAATTATCATAAGATCAGCCTCGAAAATTGTATTGATCTATATTATATATATTTATTATTTATTCATAATATATAAAAAACTTGAGAAAATATATAGTAGTCTTTTTTTTATTCAGTTTTTTAAAATAATTATAACATTTTAATAACAAAAAATTATTAACAAACAATATATATATATAATATTATTTTTATTGATATATATATTATAAATTTTATTAAAAATAAAACTTAAGCGGTATTAATTTTATATAAAATTATTTATAATTTAATGAAAAATTTATAGTTTTATAAATAAATTAAATTATTAAGAAAAACATTCTGTGAACTAATGGTAAATAAACTACTTTAAGTTTAAAAAAAAGATTAGTACTAGTAATGTACGCATAAACATACAAATAAAAAAATTACACTTATATATAACACATATAAATTATTTTTAAAATAAAAATAATTTCTTATTAACTTAAAGCAGCAAATAAAACTCAATTATTTAAAATTTTTACCCGTATATTAATACTTATTTGACATGTGTAATAATTTTTAAACAAATATAATAAAAATTTATTTTAAATTTTAAAATTATAAATATTTGATATTATGAAATATATATATATATTTATATATTTATATATATATATAAAAATAAAAAAATTATATAAATATATAATTATATAGATATTTTTAATCTCTTTACACAATTTATTTTATATACAGATAAATAATAAGTATATATTAATAAATCATTAATAAATATATAGATAATTACGATTACTTATTTATATAGTAGTTATTTATTTAAAAAAAATATATATTTCATTAATTATTTTCTTCATCAATTTAATTTAGACCTGCAAATAGATAAAAGAAAGCCTTATCTTCTTCTGGTTAATTTTTAGCAATTTCAATAAGCTTCATACTTTTATAATTTTTATTTTCTTCAACATCAGTAAAATATTTTTTATTATTTTAAAGAGGACTTTTTTAGTTAATATATTACCGTGATTCTGGATTATCAGACATTCTATAATCATGGTATTGATATTCTTAATTTAATTATTGCAAATTATTTTTACTTTTATTTATGCTTTTTAATAAGTTAGTTTTATTTTAGTTTATTTATTTTTTTAATTATTATTATATTTATGTAATTTTCTTATTTTTATTTAAATTTTTATCATTTTATTTCTATATTTCTTTTTGCTTTTCACATTAAAATGTATTGTTTTTATTATCTTTCTATGTTTTATTTTCATTTTCTAAATTACTTTCATCTTCTTCGTTTTATTCTTCTTATTTTTTTTAATATATTATTAATCCTATTATTGTTGCTGTAGTTACTAACCATCCATAGTTTTGGAATAAATTTTTATAGTTTATACTTTATAAAGCTTTTAATGGGAGATACTTATCCATTTTTTTATTATTTTTTTTGCTAAATTATATTTAAATAAATTTATATTTTTTTGAAAAAAAATTAAATTTATTTTTTCATAATTATAGTTAATCAAAAATATTTATATAAAAAATTATAAAATTAATAATCTTTTTTAATTTATTTTTAGATATTAAGTTTATTTAATTGTTTCTTTAAATAAAATTATAATATTTTTATTACTGTATTATATAAATATAAAATTAGGTTTATTTTTAAGTTTCATAAAAAAGTTTTACAGAGATATTTATTATATATTTTATTAAAAAAATTAATAAAATTATAAGGTTATTATATAAATAAAAATTTATTTAGAAAATCGAGTTAAAAATATATTAATTTATTTTCCAAATATTTATATATTTTTAATAACTTTAATAAAAAATGATAAAAATATAAATAAGGAAAAAAGGTGAGTAAAATAATCATTTCATTAAATGTTTTTAGTAGGAGGACTTTTATTTGTAATTCTAGCAGAAATCTAAGGTTATTCATATGTCTTAGTTTGCGGAGAAACAGAACTAACTTGTCCTTTTAATTATTAACTGACGTTATTAATTTATTTTTATTTATTTTTGAAATCAAAATATGTATTTTTATCAATGAAATTATTTTTATTAGTTGCAGAAGATGAACTTCTCATATTTTGGTTATTTATGCCATTTTATTAAATTTATTATTAAACTTATTAAGTTTATTATTTATTTTCAATATATCTATTATTTTATAAAGCCTACTGACTTTTATTACTTGTATTGAATATATTAATAGATTTAGTAACTATGTTTTAAACATTATGATCTGAATTATTATTCTTTTCAAGTGTTTTATTACTTTCGTTTTTATCACTTTAAAGCTAATTATTTTCATACTGCGTTTTTTCACTTAAACTTTAATAATGAATAGCTTAAGATTAATTAGCTTCTAAAAATTTATTATTTTCTTTAAGCTTTTATTAAAGTTCTAAAACTTAGTTTTCTAATAATTTAATTTTTTCGTTTTTTTATTGAATTTCATTTTAAAATTGTATTTGTTATTATTTCATTTATAAATTCGAACTTTCTAAATCGTTTTTTTATATTTAATATTATTAACAAGTATTTTATAATTATTTAAATAATTAATCTTATGAACTTACGACTAGATTTGTCATATTTCTTGACAAAATTTATTTAATTTCTTGATTTTTAAGAATAGATTATTTAACAGTTTCTATACTTTTATCGTTATTAAAAATAATTTATTCAAGTTCTGCAATTTGTTTCTTTGTATTAATAATATCAAGTTCATATGGCCAAACAAAAAGGGTATTTTACAATTATTTTAATTTAGAAATTTTATTTTCTAGATTTGCTTAGAAACTATTTTTATTAAGAATAAGTTGATTTAATTTTTCATATATTTATTATTTTTCTTCCAGATTTCTTAATAAATTTGCACATATATTTTCTATATCTTCTGTTACTCTTATTTAATAAGAACTTTATTACTAACTGAAATTTATTTAAGAAGGAGTTCTATTAAATACGACTACACTTCCATTATCAGACTAGTTTTTACAGGAAATCCTTACACTTTTCCCACTTGATGAAAAGCTTTCATTTAGAGGCTAATTATTTAAATTTTAGGAATATTATATGAAATTTTAATTATTAGTATTATTTTAAGTCAATTTTAAAAATTCGAGTTATTATTATTGCTATTCTTATGATTTTTAACTTAATTAAAGTTTTAATAGCTCTATTTCTTTTTTCATGCTTTTTAATAGAATATTATAACTTTCTTTCTCGTCGATTATTTTTCGTTTTTTGTACCATTTTTTATATTTATCGGGCTCTTAGGGAATATTTTAGAGTATTCTAGGTTTCCTCATATGAAGAGAAAGCTGGAGAAATACAAGATACCATTGAAGTTTACGTATTTCCTCCTAATGAATCTTTTAAAAGACGAGTAAGTTTAGAATCTCGATAAGGAACGAAAGATTGTCCTTTTTTATTTAAAGTTTACTCTCCTAAAATATTAATACAATTTCCTAAAGCTAGAAGTGATTTATTAATATTTGCACCTTCTTATTATCTTAAACCTATATTATCGGTTATTAATGCTCTTTCTGAACCAGCCAAATCTACAAGGGAAAGCTTACTTTATGTATATCTTCCTTCCTTTATACTTTCTAATGTAAAAGTAATTATAGTATGAGATCGTGAAGAATATTAATTATGGGAAGTTGACGCCATTTATCTTTTTGTGTTTCCTATTCTAATCCATTCGATGACTTCATACTCGTTTTGTATTTACTTTTCTGAAAGTTCTAATACATAAACGCCTTTTTATGCATCTTCAACAACCATGAGATTATCTGCGGAAGATGAATCTGATAAAAGATCATTTATTTATTCATTATATATTTCTAAATAAGAAAACTTTAATGTAAATTATTGTGATGCTTTTTCCTTTATTTTAGATAATAGATCCTTTAAAGAATACATTATTAATCCACTTATTCCTTATTTTATATTATAATAACTTTGCATATCTCCAAACATTGTGTATGTTTTTCCAGCACTTGTCATGCCATATACAAAACATGTGCAATTATAACCTTGAAAAAGGCTATTTAAAATATCGGATTTTAATACTTTTGTATACACTTAATCGTTTGTGGATTATTCATTGAAAACACCTGTAAATTAAAATATTTTTTCATCTCGATTTTGGAAATTCAATGGCTCACTTTGAGTGAGAATTATTGCATTTGCTTCTTCGTTTATGCGTATTACTTTTTTGTTATTGTACTTTTCTTAAAGCTCTTTTTAGTTTAGGGGACGTACACGGACAAATACTTAGATTGATTGGGGTTTCTTTATTTATTTTAATATCTTTGGTCCGAATAAGTTATTGTTTATTAAAGTTGATTCTAATAGAACTTCGTCTTTTTTTTCTTATTTTTCATTAAAACTTTATAATGCTATTTAAAAATGAATAAATTTATTTTAAAATATATGATTATGTTTTTTTTTTTTTTTATTAATTTATCGTAAAGGTATTTTTTACTTTACTTTTTTTTGGGTCTGGTTATTATTATAGTGTTTAATAATTTTTAGTTTATATATTCGTTCGAGAATCTAAGCTTGATTTTGGTTTAGTTTGGCCTATAATATTGTTCTAAGGTTTATTATATCTATATAAAAAATCTGGGGAAGTAGAACCAAATTTATGTGTTTTAAGAGTTTTAAGAGAAACTTCTTGAATTTTGGCTTTTTTTAAAAACATTTTTTACTTATTTATTAAATTTATTTTACTAATGTATTTTTTTTTTTTAAAAAAAAAATATAAATATAAAACAAAAATATATTTATTAAAAAAAATTTAAAATTGTAATTATTATTTATAATAATTAAATAAATTAATATAAATAAATAACTAAAATATAATTTTTATTTTTGTTTATTATTTAATTTTTTTTTTTTTGTTCTTTATTTATTAGATTTATTTATAATTTGATTTTTTATATAATATAGTTATTCAATATTAAATAAGGAATTAAAAAAGTAAATAGTTATAAAATAATTTTCATATAAATTTTATTTGAATAAAAAAGTGAATATTATTAAAAATTATAATAAATTTAATATATTTTAAATAATTTAAAAAAAATAAAAAAAGAATATTTTTTAGAATTTAAAAATATATTTTAATTTTATTACTTTGAATATTTTAAATGGGGACAATATTGAATATATTTAAAAAAAATGTTACTTTAAAATTAAGTTAAAATAAAAAATTATGAATAAAAATGTTAAAATATTTATATATAAAAAATATTAATAGGAATGGTTTAAAGAAATATTGTAAATTTTATTTTTTATCCAAACATAACATTAAGTCATAAATTAAATTTATATGAAGATTGCTAATAAGGAGTTTTAATGTTAGACACAAATTCATGGGAAGTTAACTTATGTATAAAATATATATTCTAAGTATTTAAATTTATATATTAAAAAAAAGATGATTAGAAGTTTGAATCTGATATAGATAAAATAATAGCTTAACATAAAAAAAGTTAATTCTAAGTGCAAGAATAAATATAAAAAAAGAAAAATTTAAACGCAGAAGAAGAAGAATTAAAATAATAAAAAAAATTATAAGCGAAAATAAACGGATTAAAGGCAAGAAAAATATTACTTTAAAAATAAAGAGAAAAACTAATATATGATTTAAAAAAAAGCAAATTAGAATAAGATAAATTGCAATTTTAATGTGATTTAATAAATGAATTAGTATTTTTTTTTTAAAAAATTTTGAATATCTATATATATATATATATTTTAAAAGATAAGAGAGGAAGAGTTAAAGTTTTAAAGTTTTTAATAATATTAATTTGAATAAATAACTAATATTTATGATTTTATATAAGAATAATAAAATGATGATAAAGAAATATAGAAAAATAATATTTTAAAAGCTTTATCATATAAATTCGATGGAAATACAGATAAAAAATATTAAAATTAAAATTCGAAAAATAGTTTAAATCAATAATAATAAAACAAATCTATTTTATCTATTTTAGTAAATAGAAATAAAAATTAAGTATATTAGGCAACTAAATAATAATCTCAATATTAAACAATATTTTAAAAAGATTAAAATTAATAAAATGATTAAATTTATAAATCATCTTTTAAAAGATCTTAAAATAATGTTTAGTTTTAATGAATAAACCATAAATTAATTTTTGTTAATAAAATAAATATTAGTTTTTTATTTTTTATTTGTAAAATATTTAGAAATAATAATTTATTAAATTTTTTATTAAAAAAAAATTAATTTTTTATTTATTTTTTGGTTAAAAAAAAAATAAAAAATAAAATTATTATTAATCAATCATTTTCATTTTTTAAGTAAATAAATAAAAAAAAAAAAAAAATGGGTAATTCTAATTCATAATAATATATATTTTCGAAAAATCTATACAATCCTGAAGAATATGAATAGATATAAGCAAACGAGTAAACGAAATTAATAAGAAATAAAAAAACGAAACAAAACTACGAATTAAAATTCCTAAAATACTCAGAAATTACTGAATTTTAACACAAAGTGGCCTAATTAAAATATCTTATAAAATTAGAATAAAAAAATATTCAAAAATTAGTAGACTTTTCATCTACTTTATAAGATGCTTTTTGTTCTTCTAATTATTAAATCATTTAAATGTAAGAAAATTTTCCTTATAATCTTTTAGATTAAATTAAGGTAAGGAAAAATAAAAATCCGCCTCTATATTTTGAAGAAGGAGAACTTTTTTATACTTTGCATTGTCTTTTGGGAGTTTTTAATTATTTGTTTTCAGTTTATGTATTTCCTTTAAATATTTTATTGGAAAATATTTATATTAATGAATATGGAATTATTAAATTAGGAGGATAAAATAATGAATAAATAAATTATTCCCCACAATTAATTGCTTTTTCGAAAAATTAGGGCTTTATGGATCCTTAGAAGTGTATTTTGGGTCAAATTGGGTTAATTATTTTGAAAATGGGATTACTAGATGAGGATTTATATGATAAAGATGCTGGATTAGATATAATGTAAGGTAAATATTCAGTAAAAATAAGGGACTATTTATAATTAATATTCGAAAGTGAAGAAAGTTTGGAAAATTTAAACTAGGAGATGAACGATGATATTGATTTGATAATTAATAAAGCTGAAAGTTTAAAGATTATAAATGAAAAATAAGAAGAATGCCCTAGAATATTTAATAAAAATGAATATACATATAAAGAAATAGATGAAAAAATAGAATAAGTATTAATTTTAAGTAAATAAACAATATAATAATATGGAAATTAATATATAGTATAATAAAATTCATGAAAAAAAAAAATTCATAGAAAAAAAAAAAAAAAATTTAAAAAAAAATCATTTAATTATTTTCATATATAAAAAACATCTTATAATATATTTAATTATATTATCCTTTAAATATATCGAAATATTTTCTTTTCTATTTTTTTAAACTTTAAAAAGTCTTCCTTTTTTATCGGCTACAATTTCATATAAATAGGTATATTCTTAAGGATTTAGAATTTCGTCCCTTGTTCTGTTAGTTAAGACTCCAACGAATTCCATTAAAACGAAAATTCCATTAAAAAATGCCAATAATCCCACGAAAACGAAAAATAAGGCATAAAATATATTTTAAAATTTACTTATAAGATAAAAAGTCTCTACATATTAAAAAATAACCCAAGAACTTAATTAATTAGAGTAGAAATCGACATAAAAATAAAAAAACGAGACTAAAGTTACTTATTAGACTATTATTTATAAAAAGAATAATAAATGATTTTCCGCTGAAATGCATTTGTTCCAAAAGAAATTATGATGATTGTAAAAAGGGACACATATTCCACATTTATGGCAGTGTTGGACTTTCACACCTTTAAATTTTAAACATATTCCACATATGCGTTTAAAATCAACTTTATTTAAACTACTAAAATAGTTGTTTTAATATAAAAGAGATATTTCGTGCATAAAAGATGGTAGATTTTCCTCGTTTTCGTCTATTTTTATTATATCGTGATTAAAGCTTTATATTTTTGAGTTTTTAAGAAGATTATTTAAGTGTTTATAGTCCATTTTTTTATTTAAAAGTCTGTATTTTTCCGAATCTTTCATTATATTTTACATATAAGGGGGTATATTTGCCTTGTTTTCTTCTTTTAAACGCCTATCACGGTCTATCCCTTCATTATCCACTAAAAAATTACCTATATGCCTATCTTTGTAAGAAACAATGGAGTTAATAGTCCATATGGAGAAGCTGATGTAGAAAAATAATAATATAAAGAAAAATAAATTAAAGTAAAAATGGCTATTTTTAGTTGAATAATATATGTAACCTAGAAGAATGCCAAAAATGAAGTAAAAATAAGAAAAGGGGTGTACTTTTTTATATTCAGAGGTAATTTTTTCCCATTTATTTGCCAATATATAGGAATAAGTAGACTCTTTTTTTTATATTTATTTAATAATATTAATTAAAGAAGGGGAAATAATTCTTTCGGGATCATCTTCCTTTTATTTTTGGAGATCAGGGAGTTGCTACTTATTTAAATTGCCTAAAAAACTCACTATATCATATGAATTATTCAAGAAAGATCTCTTTAAAGGTGAATAACCTTAATTATCAGCTGAAAAAAGGTCTAAATTTAACGTATTTAATAATTCTAATAGGAAAAGATTGCCTTTATAAGCTGTCCAGTGTACTATTGTGGAAGAATTGGAATCTGAATCATGTATATTAGCTCCTAGGTACAATAAATAGAAAAAAATGAGGATATTTTAATTTCTAATTGAATATAATATTGCGGAAAATTAATATATATCCTTGGAATGAATACATGCCCCAAAATCAATCAATAATTTGAAAATTTTGATATAGTTTTGGCTTATTGCTTTAAATTCGTTGCTTTTTTAGTCTATATTTTGAACCGTTCCACCCCCATTAGCTGCCATCATTAAAGCCGTGCGATTGAAATTGTCTGGAATATTCGGATCTGCTCCATTATTTAATAAAAATACTGCTAAGTCTAATTAATTAGCTAAAACACAATTATGTAATAGTGTTTAACTGTAAATATCTTTTATATTAATATCTATATATTTCATTTTAATACATAGAAGGGCAGGATTATAATTGCCTTTGGATATTTCAGATGTTATATCTATTATTTAATGATATTGGATTGTTTGCTATTTTAGGTTTTGTTAATATTGTTTTATTTATTAATTTTATTCTTCTGTTATGACTTATTAACGATGCTCAATGTATTCTTTTACAGATTTCATTTTGGAATGAGTATTGGGAGATGCTAAGTCTGTGGATATTTCGGTTTAGGGTAGAATTTTGGTTTCGGTTTGTAAATCAGACTGTGTTAAAGATTGGATTTCTATAAAATTTTATTGTTTTGTTTGAGATTGTTGTTCCATATTTTTTTTCTCCTTTCTTTGTTTCTTTGTTTCTTTTTTTATTTTTTTTTTTTTTATTTTAATAAAAAAAATATTATCATTATTTTTTTATTTTTTTCATGTATTTTTATTTTTTTGTGAATATTAATTTAGAAATTTTATTATGATATCTTTCTTTCATTTGTTCTTTTTAGTTATTTTTAATTATAATTAAATTTAGATTAATAATTTTATTTTATTTTTCAAAAAAATAAAAAATACTTTTTTGTTTAGATAAATAATATTGTTAAGATTTAATATGCCTTTTTTTTGTTTTGTTTTTATTAATAAAAATAAAATAAAAAATTATTAAATAAACAAAAAATTAATAAAATAACAAAAATTATTATAAATATTTTTTGTTTAAAAAAAAAAAAAAAAGAAAAGAATTAAAAATATTTTTATTTTTCATTTAAAATAAAAAATATTCTTAAAATTTTAGATAAAAAAATAAAAATAAGAAATTATTTAAATTAATATTATTATATATATAAAAAAACAGAAATCTTTTCAAATAAGAATAAATTAATAATATAATTTTTTTACAAAATAAATAAAATAATTTCATATTTTTTTTGAATCGTTATTATTAAAGCATGAGCAAAATAATCTAGATAAAAAAGACTAATCTTCATTCTATTTATCTTCAACTTCTTTATTAGTTTTTATTTTTTTTATGCTTTATATCAAATCCACAGTGCTTTTTTTCCATTCTTTTATATTAAATTATAAATTCAAATATTCTCTATATTATAAATCTTACAAAGAGCAAATCATGTCCAAATGTTTTATTGATGATAATATTATTACATTTACATATTATGAATAAAGATCTTTAATACTAGCAATTATTAAGTCTGATATATATAAATTTGTATTTGGAAATATAATATCATCTCTAAAATTTATACTAAAAACTTCGTTCCTTATTATTTCTAATTATTTTATTATATCTTATAATGCTTTTCCGAAAATTGCAATCCTTTTTATTTTTCATCCTTTCTGGATAGTCCAGATAAATATTCTATCAATCTAGATTCATGTATTTAATTTAATAATTCATTAACTATTTTTTTAGATTCTTCTATTAATTAAAATCTTTTTAATATATCTTATGTATTTTATCCTAATATGGAAAAATCTTCATCTTACTACATAATTTTTTCGTTTTCTAAAAGATTTGATATATCGAAAAATAAATAAATAAACTTGTGTATAAAATAATATTTAATAAAATATTTATTTTTTATAAATATTATTTTATTAAATAAAAAAAAAAAAGTTATGTATAAATATAAATATATGTATATAATATAAAAAACATATATTTACTTAAATTTTTTATTATTTTTTAACGAATTAAGCAAGACATTATAATAAATATCAAATTTAAATTATATATTTAAAATAAATATGATTTCATTAATTATAAAAATAAATAAGTATAAAATATTAATTAAAATTTAATATATATATATTTTATTTTTTTAAATATTTATCTTATATTAGAATTTACTAAAATAATTTATTATTTTTATAAATTTATTAAAAAATTATAATTTTAATCATTTTAATAAAATAATTATATATAAATATTTATGTGATTTCACCAAAAACTTAAAGAAAATTTACTTTTTATTTTTTTTAAAAAAAAAGAATATTATCAAAATAAATATAATTTACTAAAATATAAGAAAACAGATTTATAAAATAAAAGAAAATTTGTTTTAAGAATAAATGATTTAGATTTTAATAAGAACAGATAAAACTTTTACGATAGAAGTTGATTTGGAAGAATCAATATTAAATTTAAAGAATAAATTAGAATAATTAACAGGAATATCAAAAAATTAATAAAAATTATTTTATTAATGCAGACATCTAAATGATGATAAAACAATATTTGATTACTAAATTTAAAACGGGTAAACTTTATTATTGAATTGAAGGAAAACTTCAAATTAACAATTTTTTTAAGTAAATAATAAAACTAATATAACTAGATTGAAATTTATATTTGTAAATTAATTAAAACAATATAATAACTTTTTAATTATTTGTATATTTTTTTTAAAAAAAATATAATTAAATAAATAACAAAACATTGAAAAAAACCTGAATAGACTAATAAAATAATAATAAAACTAAATTAATATAAAAAAATATTAAAACATAAAAAATAAATAAATATAAATTCTACATATTTACATTTTAAATATAAAAAAATTTATGCTATAAATATATTTAAATAATTATATTTTTGTAATACAATTTTTTTAAGATATGAGTCAGTGTAAAATATTTTGATAAAAAATATATTTTAATTATAAATAATTAAAAAATATAAAATAAAATTCAATAATGAAAAATATAAAATGCAGAAAAATTAAATATTAATACTTTCAAAATTTTAAATAAAATAAATATGAATCTATAAAATAAATAAATATAAATATATATATAAAATATTTATTTAATTATATATTTATAAATATTTACATATATATTTATATATATAATTTGTATATTCTTTTTTTTTTAATATTTTATTTTATTAGTTATTTTTTATTCTATATTTTATTTTTTAAATAATTTAAAATTTTTTTATATATATAAATAATATAAAATACTTTGAAAATGGGTGCCTGTGTTTGTTTAAAAGAAAAAAAATCATAAAGTAAAATAAATTTATCTAAATTTTTATTAAAATTTTCTTAAAATGATAAAGTTTTTATTTTTTTATAATATTTATAGATGATAAAAATTTTAAAGTAAATTAAGTTAATAGCAAAAAGATTATGAAAAATAAAAATAATGGAGTTATTATAGGAACTGATAAACAATAATATGATCAAAGTTAATTAAATGCAGAATAAAGAAGACAAATTGCAGCTAAAGCGGCTGAATAAAGATAATTCGAATAACAAAATAGAGGATTAACTTAATAGGCTATGATTGATTTGTAATTTAAATAATAATAATAAAAAAAATTGGAAGAGTATGATAGAAATAATAAAAATTAAAACTATGTTTTAAAAGTATATCATAAATTTATAAAAGAAAACATATATATAAATTAAATAATTATTTTTAAAAGTGGCAAAATTAATGATGGAATATAATTTTATTAAAAACATATATAATTATTGAATGTTAATATTAAAAAATTATATTTAAAAAATAATATAGATATAAAAATTTAGAATTTATATAAATCAAATATAATGATATACACGACTAGAGTTATTTTTTTTATATAGATAATTAATTTTAATTATTTATTTATAATATAATTAAATATATTTGTTTTTTCTTATATAAACAGATATCCTAAATTGAATCATTTATATATATATAATATAATATTATATATATATATATATAAATATTTATATATATATATA